AAACTTTTATTTTACCAAATGAACCACATGTTGTTATAAGTCAAGTCAATAAATAACTGCAAAAGAATTTTAAAGTAATATTCAATGATCTTGAAAGAATTCTAAGGCTGTTCTTTATACTTTTTGTGTATATATGAGAGTTAACATCTAAGGATGATGAGATTTGGGAATTTTCTTATTTTATTAATAACAATTATCCCCAAAATTTTATATGAAATTGATTGACACATCTCTCATTAATAGACAGATCGTCAATTAAAGTATATTGACCAATGATCACACTAAAAAAAATTGCTTTCAATTTTATTATAAATTATAAATAAATTCATATATATTATATAGAATTTTGCAAGAATTAACATAATATTCATCCAAGCCTATGAAACCTTTTCTATCATAAAATTTTAGATACTTATTTCTTAGGTAACTAGCAAAATATTACAATTTAACAAATTTTATTTTTTGCAATGTCACTGTCTCTAAAATTTTTTGCAAATGAGTAAAAAAATTTTTTTTTGTGGGTAAATTTATAGGGATTATTCTAATGGACAATGTATGATGCACTTCGTACACTCAGTCATCGGTTCCTCCTATATAATATATAAAAACAAAAATTAATATTTTCATCTTAAAATATAATTGTATTTTATATTATATATACCCTATATTCTTCATCTGGAGAATAGCTTGCTGGACTTGATTGATTATTAGGATCCAAGTAGCCAGGGGTTAAACCAATTGCATTTGAATCATCTGTATATATTCAAAAAGAGAATTATATGTATTTTTATTATTAAGAATTTTTCTAAAAAAATATGATCTTGATTCCTATAAATAAAGTAAAAAAATTAAATATAATATGTCTACTATTAGTTTCAGTTTATACTTACTGGTATGTTGTTACAGTGGCATTTCTTCAATGGCGATGGTAATGTAAATTTGTAGTTTACATGCTTCCTAGTTCTAAAATTATATCTGTTGTCAACACTAGTGTCAACATCATTTGTTACAGTTGTAATTGTGGTAGTTATTGGTATTGGTGTTGGTGTTGGTGTCAATGTCGCTGATATACTACCATTGGATATTAATATAGGATTGTCAGGGATGTTAAATGGTCTGTCCAGTCTGGTCTGGTCCAGTCCATGCCAGTCTTATTTAAAGATGGACCAAACTGTCAGTTTTGAAAATGGTCTGAAAAAGACTAATGGTTCAGTCTGAGACTGCAGTCTTTATTAATTCAAACAAATATCATAATTTTTTTATTAACTATATTAAAAATTAAAATACATATTATTCATCAATTAACCCAATCCAATTCAACTCTTCATTACCTTCCATATTTTCATCAGATGTAAATGGTTCTTCAACAACATCTAAAATAATTTGATCATTATCAATTTCTGAAAAATAGGTCAACCAACTTTTTAGACATATACTAGCTCTTGCAGTTTGTGGGTGAAGCCTTGATCTTGTTTTACGAATAGTGTGATTAGCAAGTGAAAATAATTGTTCACAAGGCACAGAGGTGGCCTGAACAGTGAGATAATCTTTGGCAATTCTTGCCAAAGTTGGAAACTCTGTTTGATGTGTTTTCCACCAATTTAATGGATCTATATTTTCATTGGTAATAATTGGTAATTGTAAATAATATATATACATACATATGTAAACTTGATAAGTTGGTTGTGTGGGGATGAGCTCATATGGCTGACTTATCAAGTAAATCGACTTATCAAATTAAATTACTTAAATATTAAGGGAATGGGGTGAAAATTTTGGCCAACTTATCAAGTTTACATATGTAACAATTTTTTAATTCAATATTTTTTGTAATTATTAATAGTAAATTATTTATTTATCAATTGTTAACATAAATTTGTATGAAGTAAAGGGAAAATTAAGAGTCATAAAATCATAAATCATAAATTTTCAAGAGAGTATAATTTTTTTTTTTTTAGATGGTTATTATTATTAATATATATATATATATATAAAAAAGACCATTTTAGGACCAATCTAGTGTAACAATTTCACTATAGAAATGGTCCAAGACTGACCAGTTTAAACTTCAGTCCCTATTTGAAAAAAGACCATTTTAGGACCAATCTAGTGTAACAATTTCAATATAGAAATGGACCAAGACTGGACCAAGACAGACCAGTTTAAACTTCAATCCCTATTTGAAAAAAGACTGTTTTAGGATCATTTTCACATGATAAAGACTGCAAAGACTACCAGTTGATCTCTTTTGAGAAAAGACCAGTCTGGTCCAAGGACAGACCATCAGTCCACCAGTCTTTTGGGACTGTTTAACATCCCTAAGGATTGTATGACAGACTTAAGATATTTGAATCAGGTTCTATATTATTATTATCATCTAATTGTGGTGACACATCCATCTGTAAAATAAGGAAGTTGTTTGTTACAGTTGTAATTGTGGTAGTTATTGGTGTTGGTGTCAATGTTGATGTTGGTGATATACTACCATTGGATATAGGATTGTATGATGGACTTAAGATATTTGAACCAGTATTATCATCTAATGGTTGTGACGCATCCATCTGTAAAATAAGGAAGTTGTTTGTGTAGATCATGCACATAGTTATATGAATACATGTGTACATATTATACACATATTATACACATATGAGTGATGAATTAATAGGCTTATAAACTCACTTCAATTTCTTTAATGAAATTTTTAACAAAATTGATTCCATCTTCTATAATGTTTGATTTTTGATCAATTGCGTTATTAATATCTTCTAATTTTATATGGAATTTCTGGCTTATGCTAGTTTTGATGTCTTCAAAAATCATCAGATATTTTTCTATGATTCTGCTTTATAAAAAAGATAAAATCAAAAATCAAAAATCATTCTTAAAAACGATAACTAAAGAGAGTGTGATATGCTTACTGTTCTTGCACATCTTGCGTGCTAGATCTATTATGTGCAAAAATTTATAAAAATAATCAGAATGACAATAACTAGAATGACAAGTGGTGGCAATAACTGCCACCACCATTTTTACAATAAACTAGAGTGACAAGTGGTAGCAATAACCACCACCACCATCCTTAAAACACTTATTCATGTTGTTCTTTGTCTGCTTCTTTTCTTCTTTTTCTTCTATCTTGTTTGGAGTTGTTCATTTTAATAAAATAAAAAAAAAGAAATTTGTTATTTGATCGACGTGTACACATTAATTATTTATCCTATTGGTTTTTTTTTTTGGTAGGACAGACGCAAATTGATTGATTTTTTTTTTTTTTGGAAAAACAAAAAGCAATTTATTTTTTGACAGAGTCCAAGGTGACAAAACGTGAGTGTTGTTGTGTGGTTTGGGTCTCCTAAAGAATACGTGTTAATAACTAACCAGAGGTACTTTTTTTTATTTGTATTGATATAATATGAGGTATCTTTTATTATAGTTTATAAATATTTTAATTGGAATTCAAAACGCGGAGCAGATCTTGCTGGGTAATTACAAGATTTTCATTGATAATATTTATTTTATTTACCACATTAGCAACGCATAAAATATGATTTGCCATATGAAGAACATTTGCAGAGGCCTTCTGAACGGTGAGAATATATGCACGCTGAGCACGACTCAGTTGACTAGAAAGTAAGATTTCTGCACTAGAAGAAATCCCATGCATTGGTGTTCTTATTTCTACCGTATCGAAGAAACAAAGCATAATTTTTATAGTGATGAAAAAATTTTTATTGGAATAATTATAAAATTAAGTTTACCATGACTAATGACTCGTAAAAACATTGTTCTTTTCGTAGCTTGCAACTAAATAAATTGCATGCGTGCGTGTTTAATAAACATAATCGAATTAATTCTGACTTTTATTTAATTTTTTGTTTAAATATTAATTTATGTACAATCCTGTGGTATTCTTCTTTGATTATGTTTTTCGTTTGAAAGAGTTGCAACTAACGAGAATATAAAAGCTAAAACCATCAAATTCATCATGAATCGTGACACATATCCAAACCAAAATATCGCATCGAAATTTTACGACAATTAATCGATAATTGTATTAATATAAATTTATAATAAATATTCTTTTATTTAAAAAAAATATTATTATTTATTACCAAATGCAAATTAATCCAGAATAAAATATATAAATTGAAAAGGCTGTATAGTAACCAAATTTTCGATCTGCAAAGACATAACTAATAAAAATACAATAACAATAACAAGTTTATTTTATATTTTCCCGGAAAATATGTAACATGTAAACTTTGAGTACCCCTCCCCATTCCTAAGCATATGTTTGCTTTTTAAAGAAAATTATTACCTGAACGGAGGGATCAAATATATTACGTCTTGTCCTGTTGTCATTGCTCCTAAATATTTTTTAATAAAAGTCTTTAATGCGTAAAAATTTATAAACGATTTTTCACATTTACCTTCTTGGATAGAATTCAATTTGAAAATCAATAAAGTCATAAATAAACACACTACTAGTGGCCTTACACAATTTATCGAAGAAATACATGATTTGTGAAGACAATATAACATTACTAATAAATATGAGATGATTGATTGATTGATTTTTGATTTTTCACACAAAAGAAAAAAGAAAAAGAAAATTCATACCGATATAAATTATAGGAATTGCGATATAAATCAATAAATATTTATTTGTGATGATACTTGAATATTTCCATAATAAAATAACGAGAGATGAGATTGTTTGCAGGAACATAATGATAACTTTGATTCGAAATCTTTCACCAACTTGTGGTAACGTGTAACTAACAATCCTTTGAGTATTAACACCACCATCACTATCAAGTAACCTATTGAAAAATGAAAGAGAAGGGGCAAGCGGTTGTTGTCGTTCTTGGTCTTGCTGTTGTTGACTTTGTTGTTTTTGATGATGATTTTGCGAATTTAGCAAAAAATATTTCTTTACAATTTGGTCGAAAGTATTTGAAATTCATTTTTTGAAAAATAAAATATTTTCCAGAGAAAAAATGGAAAATATGTCATCATAGAAATAAATATATCAATCATGTTCTCTTTCCCAACAAAAATGCAAATAATTTTTATTACGCAATATTTATCTATTTTATCATCTGTATAAGCACATTTAAAACTTGTGTAATAATTATTATTTATTAAAGTCTATGTTATTTACATTTGAAATAGAAATAAGTAGTGATTCAAAAATAAATTAAACTTAAATATTCAAAAAAATTATTCTTTTATTATTTGGAATACTTCACAATCTTCATAAATAAATTCATTTCTATCTAAAATTGTTTTTTCATAATAATTTTTATTATAAATTCCACGATTTCTAATAATATTTCCACCTGTACTCGAACTGATACTCATATTAGAAATACTATTATTATTACTATTACTATTACTTTTATTATTACTATTATTGAACTTAATGATCAAATCGTTTAAACCAAATCCAGGACCATTAATTGTTTTACAAATTGATTGATGAGAATGATCTTTTAATACTCTACTAATGATTCCATCATATTCAGGATTATCATTATCACCAAATGAGAATATAAAAGCTTCTAACGATCCAGTAAAAACCGAGATTGGACAAGTGTTGGTAGTAGTAGAATTTATATTAATTGGATAATAACCTCCAATTAGAATTCTTTTATTGCTAATTTTTGTAATTATTATTGTTGGTCCTCTATCAGAACATTTTTCGTTATAACTTTTAATATTAAATCCATCTTTACTTCCTCTATAAATTAATTTAAAATTATAAATAATTGGATTTAATGAATAAATTGACGACGACGATGAAACAATTTTATGATGATTACTACTGTTAGTAACAGCAGTAATTAAATTAGTAGAATTGTTATCAATTTGATTTGATTTTTTTAATATTAATAATTCTTCATTTATTTGATTTTTATTTTGTTGCTGCATGTCTTTTTTATTACCAACACCAACACCACCATTATTATTATTATTATGATGATTAGAAGAAAATATTGATGATAACGTGTCTGCAGTCGTTGTTGCCGCCATTACCGGTGATGGTAAATGAAGTTTTTTACGTAACGTTAGAAATTTTTTAAAAGGTGAAGATTTTCGACCACCATGTTTTGGTTTATCACTATTGGTGGCGTTGGTTGGAGCATTGCTAACATCGGTCGTGATGCTAATATTACTAGAATTGTTATTATTATCTAATAAAGTATCATCATCATCATCATCATGATTATTATTATTATTATCTGGTAAATTATTACTGCTATGGTGGTTAAGATTAATCTCATTATTATTGTTATTATCGCTATTATTATCATTATCAATGTCTTCTAATACCTCTTCCAAATTATTATGGTTATTGGTATAGTTGAAAAGTTCTTTTCCTGTATCAATCCATCTTGCTATCATAGCAACATGTGTATGATTAATGATTTTTGAATCTTCCAATATTACATTCGGTCTTAATACATCAGGTTTAGGTTGGCCATTCTCATTTGAACAATAAAGATAATATTGTAAAGCTGCATTGTTTGTTGTGTCAGCTGGTAGGATTTCTTTGAATGGTAACACATAATCGTAATAATCATTCCTAGAAATTAAAGAAAATTTTATCAGTGCCAGGAATTTTCCTATTTTAATCTTCAAGTCGTCTAAATCTTTTGATGTCCACGTCTTAATGTCAATCTTGTTATTTATATCGATTTCCTTAACATTTGCCCATTTAATCAATATTTTCCAAATAATTCCATCATTAATAAAATAATCTCCATCATCTATTAATAATTTATTAATAAAATTTTCATCCAATGAACTTAGTGATAAATTGTCTTGAAATATCCAATTAGTTGTATTAATAATTTCTACGCAGTTGTAAAGAAATTCCCCTTTCAACTCCTCATTTTCCATAATTTTTAATAAAATGCTTATAAAATGTTTTTCTAATTTCAAAGATTTCGTCTCAAACACTTCTTTAATTTGTCTCTCTATTCCTTCCAACATAAATTCTCTTGAACACAACCATAAATCTAAAAATTCAGTTCCTGTCAATACCGAATTAAAATTTATTACGCCATAGGAAATATAGCTGTAATAATAACGAAGAATAACAGAATAATATGTCAGTTGGTTTTTTTTTTCCGGAAAATAATATATTAATATAACTTATTATATGATTTACTCACTTAAAAACAATTTCAAATATTTTTGAGCTGATGTGTGATTTATCTATTTCATAAACATTACCACTTTTTAAATCATTACCTTCCGATAAAATTTTTTTAAAGTGCAAGCTTTTAGAGCTTAATAGCTTGGAATTAGTTTTAAAAATTTTAAATTTTTTGTTATCTTTACTCTCTCTCCCAACCTTTTCATCGTCACCTCCATCAATACAATCATCATTATCGGATACTTTGATTACAACATCGTAATAATCATTTTCAATCAATTTCTTTTTAACATCAGCATCATCACAAGTATTGACGACAGCTGTTGCGGTGGTGATTTTTGAGTCAAAAGTTTGATCTTGTTGACTTTTTTGATCTTGGTTATTAGTATTATTACAATCTGGTATAGTTTTTGTCGATGAATTCATAGATATATCAGTATCAATAGTAGTATTCTTTTCTCCTACTGCTTTGGTAACTATATGACCATGACCACTTGATGGAATACTTTCTGAAATCATTTATATAAATTCAAATTCAAATTTTTTAAAAAAACTTTATTTATTTTATTATATAAATATAGAAATTTGTAGAACAAAAAAATAATTAATTATATTTAAGTTATAAATAGGAAAGATCAACAATTTTGTCATAATTTTTCACTTCTACGGTTGGCTCGGTCTAAAGTAGGGATGGAGCGGTGAGGTTCTGGTTCCATGGAACCAGTTCCAAAATAAATGTTACACGAGATATTATTGTCAACTAATTTTCGCTACATAAAATTTTCTTTAAGGGTATTACTTCCTAATATGAAAACAGTCTATGATTTATTATCTAGTCATTGTCCATATTTAAAATTGGTCGATTATTTTTGTTCTGCCAATCACTAAATTTATCAATAGGAATGAAGGAAGGCAAATGAAAATGACAAAAACTGATATTAAAATATCTTGAATCATGCCTGATATGATAAAGTGGTTTTGACCTCACTTCCTTAAATAAATTTAATAATTATTTAATATTAACAAATGGTCTTTTGGCAAATTGCAAAAGACTTTTTTTGAATTGTAAAAAAGACCCTTGACATTATCCTAATAAATCATTTGAATTGTCTTTTGATGAATTGCAAAAAAAGGGCTTTGACATTATCCTAATAAATCATTTAAATTGTAAAAAGATTTTTTTGAATTGTATAAAAAAATGGATCTTTGGCGAATTGCAAAAAAAGGCTTTTGACATTATCCTAATAATCATTTTAAATTGTAAAAAATGGACTTTTGGCATGAATTGTAAATATACACCGGATGGCAATTGTTTTGCCAAAAACTTAATACGTAATTACGAAATTATTTACGAAATCAATTACGGGTGACAAAATCAATTACGGGTGACAAAATCAATTACGGGTGACGAAATTAATTACGAACAACGAAATTAATTACGAATGACGAAATTAAATGACACCTATTAATATCTCGTTATACTAGTATAATGACATAATTTTTTTAGAATCATAGAATTTATTCTGTTATAATGACATGTCAGTGTAATGTATAATGCCGGTCAATTTTGATCCGGCATATCTGATAGAATAATTAATATAATGTATAACATGAATGAAATAAAAAAAGATATATAATAAAAATAAAATTACAAAATCACATGATAATGATTCTCATATGACTTCTATATGAACTCCCGTTATAATGACATTCTCGTCATACTCTTGTACGGAGGAGAGCGTTGTTATAACGGGAGTGACTTGTATTATAATTAATTTGTTGTTATTCGTCGCCCGTAATACGGTAATTAATTTCGTAATTATGTTTTTAAAGAGGAAAATGGTAATTAATTCGATAACTACGTATTACGTACTTACGGTAATTAGGCAATTACCATCCCATGTATAATGTTAATAACGGTTTGCATAGCATAGAAAATTTTCACAATAGTAATTAATTCGTCGCCCGTAATTAATTTCGTCACCCATAATTAATTAAGTAATTAGGTTTTTAAAGAGTGAAAGTGGTAATTAATTACGTTAATTATGAATTACGTATCTAATTACAATCTCATGTATACTGTGCACATAAATAATAAAAAAATACTGATAGGAAATTTATTAATCATTGACAGATAATATCGAAATAGTTAACATAACAGATCCAGATAATCAAAAGCCATCATCAACACCATTACAAAGTAGACTTGTGATGATTTATTATTGATGACTTTTGTAACATTAGACATTCTACTTCAAGTGTGTGTATGAGAATAGATCTTTTTTTAAATTATAAAGTTAAAAATATAAAAATAAAAAATGAATACTTTCCAATTAACATTAATAATTATTATAAAAACTAAAGTTCCTGTTGAACCGAACTGGTCCAAAACTTGGACATGTTCATGTTCAGTTCAGCACACTAAAGCAGAAGCCCAATTCAAGTTCAAAATGAAACTACACTCAAGTGATATAAATTATAACTTTATTGATAATATTGCAAGGTAGCCTTTCAGTTAACTGACGCATATGGCTGCTGATGGCTTAACTTTGGGCTACTCTTGTTTGTTAATTAGTTGCAGCAAGCAATTCAGTTCTTGTCAATTAATTTAGTTTACGAATTTATTTTGGTTTTCGCTTAATGCCTCTTTCTTGCACTTATAAAGCTTTGGAGAATCTGTAAGCACACTCAATGGCATGGAAATAGATAAATACAGCTCTTTTACAAAGCTCAATGACTTCTACAAAGTTCCTATTATTTACTTTATTTCACTTGTTTATTTTTATTTGGCTGATTGTGCTTTAGTTATTTACTAAACAACTTAAGTAGCTTATTTAACAGCCTTACGTTACAATAACACTGCAATTTTGCTTACTCACAATGTTGCTAATCGTTGTTAATACCCACTAGTTACCCAACGTTATCCCTAACTTTTGCTTATGAAACAAATAAAACGTGGCCATTTATCAAAGCTCCAAACCCAAGCCAGATTTGATTTTTTTAATTCTTTTTCTTAAAGGATATTACACAAACTATGGTTAATTCAAGGAAGGACAAAGCCTATATAAGTATCAATCTGATTATTGATATTGTATATCTTGATTGGAGCAAAATAAATTGATTGAGCTTTATGATTATTCACATACTAATATGCTAATTTTGAAACCTGAAATTTCTCTGTGTCATAATGTATGTAACCTTGCAGTATCTGTATAATGTTTTATTAAGTACATGATATGTAATATGACTGATATAGGAAAAAATCCATTGTTTGTTCTGTTTGGAATGATTTATGTTCAAAATAAAAATTCATTTATACTTTTAACATATTCAGGAAATAATTCCAATAAAAATAAAATGTTCGAAAAATTTCCAGTGGAACTTTTTTACAAAACTCTTTATTAATATAGTTCAGTTAACAAATCATGGTGTAGAATTTTTGTTCCAACTTTATGGAGAAATCCATTCTATTCTAGGGATAGTATAAGGATATTAATTAGTTGTTTGTTAGTAGAAGATGATAATTTCTTGACAAAAAAAATATATTATACTACCATTCCCTTTGCTAAAAAAACCACCTTTATTTAATTATGGCAGATTTGCCACTATTTTAAACCTAAGCATGATGACTAAATATCTTAATAAGTTATTGCTTATTAAATATAAAAATGAATCATTAAAAGACCATTTGGTAAAATTTATCATAAGACATTCATATATTGAATGCCTCAACACATCTTTTCTTAATGTTAAAATAATAACTGAACATTCTAAACTTAAGAATTGTTTTCAGAATCTGAAACAACTGAAGACTATAGTCCTAATTTCTTTATTATATTATCAGATATCTGCAATCATATTCAAACATTTAAATTACATCTTAATAATATGGATAATCATTCCAGTGCCAGTGATTTAGCCAGCTTAATCAAAAAACAAAAAAATGTCAAAAAAATACATATTTATTTACCTAAATCAGCTAAATCAGATGAACTTTGTGGTTTTAATTTAAAAAATGCAATACTGAGCCATTCCAACTCAATGGTTGAATATCATAGTACGGGATATAATAGTATGGATTTATCAATAATAGAGTTTAAAAATTTGGAGCCATTACATTTAAAAAATAATTAGATAACTAGGGTGTCAGAATTCATTAAATCTACATCATTCCCAAATATTCAAAAGGTTACAATGGAAAGTTTGGATATAAATTTTTTTTTAAACATGTCAGTTTTTGTTAAAATCAATGGAAGTACACTAAAATCTCTGGAGATTGGTGGAAAACCAGCCAGTTATAATCTCCAAATTTTTCTTCAGTCAATTGGAGAAAATTGTAACAATCTAGAGAATATGACAAATGTTATATGCCAATAATTTGGATCAAGAATTAATTAAAATATTTGATAATTGTATTTATTTAAAACAAATTTATCTGAGATTAATTAAATTTGGAAATAATATTAATATTTCTGATCAATCATTAAATAATTTAAGCAAAAAGTGGTTAGTCCCAAACTATCTTATTAAGTTTTAGTATTTATAATCAAAATGTTAGAGGAAAATCACACCTCTTCAAGCTACTTAAATATAAAAAATTGGGATTTTTGAAATATGAAGTTACAGATGAGAAACCTATTGCTGATGATAATAGTCATTATTATGTTCTTGATCCTGATCCTTATGGTCATGACTATGATGATTCTTGCTATTATGAGGAGGAAGGGATTTATCGAAAATTAAATTTTAAACATGGTCACAAGATTTTAATTTGGAAAATTCCTTTAAATAATATTATTTTGGTTTTATTCTTAAAAAAAATTATTCTTATTCAAATATAAAAACATAAAATTTATTCTCACTTGAAATAGGTGAATATAAAAATTTCTGACTGTCCAAGTTTTCATTGTTTTGATTTCTGTTAAATGTTGAAAATTAGTTGATTTATTATTGTTTTCATTGTCATTACTGGTACCACTTCTGACATTCATGTGATCACCTGTTTGGTGTCAACGTTGTTGAATATGGCATATATCAAGATGTGCTTTATGTATCTGGAATAATAATAATCAATTATTTATATATATCTAAAAAATAAATACAAATCTTCTTGCAAGCCTTCCAGCATTTCCATCAACAACAACAACTTCCCAACCAAAGCCAATACCAAAAATAATCTTATCACTCCTAATAAGTTTCCAGTGCAATATCAAAATTTTTTGCATGTTGACAAATTGATAACAGGCAGTTGACATGTCCAATCTCTAGTTTGATCTCAGGTCTTGTTTGACTTGATTGAATGTTTTGATTGATGGTTGATATTGCTTGTGAGATGTAAATAATGATATACCTTTTAAAATTGCTGTATATGTTTCCTGAGTTGGAAGCATTGAAAGTCTTTTCATCCATTTGCCAAAAAAAAATTTTTAAATTAACATTAATTAATTAATTATTATTATCATTATAAGCAAATAAATTTTTACTTCATTAAATAATCTAATTGACATTTTAGTTCTCCTTCATCAATACATTCAATTATCAATTGATTCCAAGCTTTAGCATTCTGTATTTTTTTACCAATTTTATAGCATCATCCAACTTTTCTTCTTTGCTTAATTTAATTACCTTTTCTTTTATACTTTCTAATGTTTTTTTTATAGTAGTAGTAGGAAATGAAGATGAAGATGAAACATTTGGATCAGCATTATTAATATCACCGACAGCACTAGTACTTGTTTCTATTTTTATTGAATTATCATCTCTTCTAATACAATTGTTGGAGAATTGGCAATTTAAATTTATTATATCCAGTCAAGTTAATATGAAAATGATACTGATTTTTCTTGGTGGTATTAATGATGGCTTGATAATAAACAACGTGTTGATACTACTACATTTGGTTTCACAATAATGTTGTAGTTGATTTATTACTACAGTTTAGTAATAAAAATATTATTTGTAACTTTTACATATATATAACATTATTTACAAGCTTATGGAAAAATTTGAGAAGATTATCAGTTTAATTTCTGAAGTATCAGAAGATCTTTGTGCGTAACACCCATGGGCATATTAATACCAGACAAAGTCACAGGGAACTATAGGTGTTGTGCGTGAAAATGAAATTTATGTGAATGTGGCTTCATTTCACCTACTGAAATAAAGATTTACAATTAAAATGTGACGTTTTGTTATTTTAACTAGTGTTGGTTTCCAAACTAGAAAGTTTCGCAACCGTGCGAAAGTCAAAGGGTTTCGCCATAAGTCGAAACTAGTTTTGATGTTTGACTATTGACTTTTGATTTTAGCTTTGATTTCGCTTCTTTGAAATAGTTTTGACGACCAACACTAATTTTTTCAAATTAAAAATCGATCAAAGATATGCGATCTACATTTTAACCAGTTAGATGATGAAATGGAAGAAAATTCTTAGTGTGGTTATTATTATGTATCTAAATTTATAAAATTAAACAACAACACGAGCGCCTAATTATATAAAGATCTTAAACGTTTTGATTATTACAGAAGTGAAAATATTAAACTTGAAAGATGGGATGTTACGGCAAAAGGTTCACATGGAATTATGAATATAATTCTGTATTTGAAGGTAAGTATATCAAAATTTAAAATATTTAAGTCATATGAGATTGAAACAAAGCTGCTCAACATAAAAATCATATAGGCAAAAATGAAAATTTTTGATTCATTATTATTATTAATGGAATTTTTCTTTTGAGTTTCTACACAATTCAAATAGCATTTATTGAAACTGTTTATTGTAATAATGACATTGTAACGAAAAATGAAATAAATAGTAGGAGGAATGATTGCAAAAATGATTAAAATTAAAATATAGGATAATAAAATAAATAAGTTATGTATGTATATAATAATTATAAAAAAATTAAAGACTTGACTACAATTGTGTTAATCCGAAAACGAGAGTTCATATTCTAGTTGACGCAATTCTCTATTATAATTTTTAAGTTTACTTTGAGATTTTTCCATTTTGATCTCCGTTTTGGCTGCTTCCACATCACCCATAGTATTATAATACGAACCATTGAAGTAGTATTCTTCTCGAACTTCGCTACCAAACTCACTAATAACTTCGATCGATGAACTGTTCCAATGCATTTGTCTCTCTGCTAGCAATGTCGAGTACCGTAGCGTTTCGGTGTCTATAAGAACTTTTAGATCGTTTATACGATATTGTTTTAATGTTCTCTTAACATGTTCATTAAATATGTTTATATCGTTTTTTTTTACAGCAAGAGACCATTGTTTTTTTACGTTGGATGTAAAATCACAAGTACAAGCACAACCTTCAAATTCTCCATCACTTCGCATATGAATACTTAGAGGTGTTTTTTCGATAAATCGGTGGTAACATTCTTCACAGAATGCAAACTCACCTCTTTCTGTCCAATTTGGCGAATACCACGCTCGACCATCATTGACTTCGTTGTTACCTGGACAAGGAAGCATACTTTCGTCTTATAATGATAAAAATCGGTTGTGATAGATTTATTAAAGAAACCAAAGTGACAATTTGGGAATACTTATATTAGAAAATCCATCAGATTTGTCATATAAATTTCCAAATTAATTTATTTACACAAAGTGAGTATTGATTAATTAATATATTGATATTAACAAACAATTGAAAATATTTATGGAGGAATTGTTTGTGTTTGAAATCCCTTGTTCCCTCGAAAAAGTTTGTGATCAACAAATAACAAATTTTTAACTGCCCAAGTGGTAAATTAAATGTTGCCTTTTTTATTAAAAGAAAAAAACATTCCTAATTGCTTTAATTGCCATTTTCAAAAAGAAAACGTTATTGTATGTTTAAATTTGGTAAATTACACAAAGTACAAAATGATAATAATAAACTATTTACCATCATCTATCTAATTGTAAGCAATTTTTACCATCCATTCAGACTTGGTGGAACACTTTGGTACCATTTCTGTTATTGATAAACTTTATAAAGTGGCCATTTACAAATTGGTTGATCAGACTAATGTTGATATTACATCACCAACTAAATTTTAAATCATGTGGTATAAGTTAATTTTTGTTGAGACAGCATGTTGTTAGCTGATTTAATACAAAAATATCATTATGATTCTTTTAAATTGAAGCAATTGAAGAAATGCAATATTTTATCAGTGAAGATAAAGCATCAAAGTTATATGCAAATCAAGAACATCAAAGAAAATACTAAGGCTTTCAATCGACCTGCCACTTACAATTACACCAACCTTTAATTTTTATCTTTAAAGATAACGAAACTTTTGAATTTATTTATTGACGTGACCAAAGTATTGACAAAAGATAGTTTCTCACCAGGCTGAGTACATAACCCTTATGAGACATTTGACTAAACTACTAGTCATATGTTAAAAGTCAACGTCAGCTATGACATTTGTTGCTAAATTAGAATTTTGCCTCTTTATGTCAGCAGCTTGATGAAAATAGTAAATTAATTAAGTTTTTCTATACACTCTCAGACAAAAGTATTTGGACTAGTGATGCAATCGTGGATGACCAATCCGGATACCCGATGAACTAACTCTAAAATTTCAATCCGTAATCCGTCGGTCTTTTTTATATTAATATCAATAGTCGTGTGACATATCCCTGAGGCTGCTTTTCTATATTAATATGTGAAAATAAATTCGAAATTAGTGTCATATAAAGTTTTTTTTAAAATATCTCGTTATTTTTATAATAAACTCGAACTTTGTTGTTAGAGTAAAATGAAAGTACTTCATTAAAGCTTTCTAATAAATACTCTTTCATATCGAAAGCTTTTCTCTAGAAGAATTCACGGCTATTCAAAAACGGTATTACTTTTTCACTTCAAATCTCAGATTATTTCTCAATATCGCTTTAAAAGACCTGATAGTCAATGAGAAGGTCTAGTATACTTTAAGCCTTCATATGGTCATTGTTATTGGTTAATAAGTTTTAGAGAGTTTTACGAAAAACTATTTTATAGAAATTTAATAGTCTTGAAGAATTTTATGATGGAATTCAGCAAAAATTAAAAGGTATTTTAAATATTAGCGGTTGCGTTTACTTTGTCGAAAATTATTTCCAGAGACCGAACGAGTTAGATGTGAGGAGTGTGGGAAGTTAGTTAAGAAATTAGGTGAGGAAAGCGGGATGTGTGGGAAGTGTGAGGAGGAATTTGTTTAATGAAGTTTTTTTTTTGTGACGAAATAATTTTCGACAAAATGAACATTCAACGAAATTAACATTTGACGAAACAAACATTTGACAAAATGGGTATTGACAAAATGAATCAGACCTTAATTGCTTCATTAAATAATACAAAATTAACTCTTTTAAATTCGACCTTGCATTCTGTTTAGGTTTGGTAGATACAAGTCTTGGAGCAACCACAACATCAAGAACAGTAGATTGTAAAAGAAGCAAGTTGCATTCACGTCCAGAGACAATCTGATACTACCACTATATCAAGCACGAAATCAGTATCCTTTGATTACCAAAACTTCATCTAATGGTGTTAATTGCCTTCTTTAGTTTACGAAATAACCCATCGTTACCTTCCAAGAGGCTTTGTTACTTCTAGGAAACCATCCACAAACATTTTTTGCAATTACGTATATTGTGGTTACGCTAACTATGCTAATTTGAATAATTGTAGTGTATATACTCACGTGTGGACATGGTTATCACAATCATTGTCTACAAAGGAGCCAACCTAAATGTTTGATATCTTGGACTATCTTGAAGTCGAAATCAAAAAAAACATCAATGCACTAAACGAAAAGATTAAACAAAAATGAGTTTATCAAAAATATCAAAAATACAGTTGATGATGATTTGGATAATGTTGAATCAGCAATAAATGATGCGGCAACAATGGAAAATTTTATTAGGACATGCAAAAAAAAATTTTTTGGGTTGTAATTTTGTTTTTATTAAACAAATTTGTTTAATTTTTTCATACATTGTTCATGTTTTGTCTTAATTGTATATCTTAAATATTGGTTGTGTTTACAATCATTTTGTCAACATTCATTATATTAATAATAGGCGGATCGTCAATTAAAAGACTTTATTTTTTTAAAATATTGCGTGTAACAATAAAAACGGGGTATGTATATAGATCATGCGCAAATTACTTTAGAAAAGTATCCTCCATTTTTTTTATTAAGCAAACAGGATCTAATATTTTTGCAAATTATAATCTTTATGTTATAGATTAATGTTATGTAAAAAACACAAATTTGGTCAGATGAGGTCGAAGGGTGTTTTTGCTAGAAAAGCTCCCATATATGAAAAAATTTTTGGTCATGGATCAAAGATTCGATGCTCTACACCTAGCATACATAATTAATAGCATGTACAATTATAGTTTTATTTTTCAGACTCATGTATACATATACAAAGTTAAAAATTAAGATCCTGAAATGTCAAAACTCTATTTTTTTTTCATTGGATTCAGTCTTCAGTTGAAATACAAAATAAATGCAGTAAAAATACATTTACAAAGTGAAAATAGGAAAAAACAATATTATTTTTTTTGCATTTTTCTTTCTGGAGTATTATCCAGAACTGATATCCAATCATGCACACAATCAGGTCCTTTTTCATTTCACATGTCTTCTTCACCCATTTTTTCCTTCACATATCATCATTCCTTAAGCAGTGTCTATAATAGTAAATAAAACCTGCAATAAGTAATAGTAAATGAAATGCATTGGTATATCTAGTGAAAGAAATACCTCCAATATTTGCAATTTTTACAAGGAGCCACCAGTCTGTATCAGGGTTGGCAAATTGACCGGTCCATTGAGAAAGATGGATTTTGGACTGGTCCATTGCAATTAATAAAATACTAAATATGGTCAAAGTGTTGCACTAATTGACCCAATGGACCACCAATAGACCATCAATGGACTGCACATTTGCCAACCCTGGTCTGTATATGATGTTGGGATTTTACACTTGAATATTTCATATGTCCTATAGGTTTTAATCCAAACAAGGTCCGTGAGGTAAATTGATATAAAATATTCTAAAAGTATAGAAGTTAGGCATGCCTTACCAAAAACAAACTATTCATGCAAAATGTAAAAGGAAAACACCTACTATATCCATGGATGCTGATGGATTTAATTTTTTTGCTGTTGTTATGGAAGAATTGTCATATTGAATGAAATGGTAGTTTAGATCATCTACCCCATTATGTGCCAATTTTGTTATATCTTCCAAATAATGTGTCATATCAAACTCTATTGGTCCAAAGGACTGTTCGTATATAATCATAGCAGTTTGATCCTGATATAAAACAGCATCATTCTTGTCTCCTCTCCTTGAACTTGCAGGTTTTTGATTAACGTTTACATTATAGATTCTATCTTTATGAACTTCATTTACAATTTCTCCACTAAAAACAGGAATAGTGTTAATTTATATTAAAGCACATGGGGGAAAATTACAAAACTTACAAGGCAATTCCTGATATCAACTCTCCAAAAAACATTGAAAACAAGTCAATAATGTGATAGACTGTTTGATTGGACCATGTTTTTTCATCACCATCTATTTGTAGGGTTTGTATTCACAGATATCATGAATGCCATTAAGGGGGTTACACACTAATAAATCAGCAAAAAATCCCTTAAAAATACTTGATTTTAATAGTGTGTGACCCTGTGTGACCTCCTTATGGTATCCATGAATACAAACCCTATCTATTTGTAAACCATTGTAATAGTAGTAAAAAATAAAGTGCCAGCAGACTTCTCTTGTCCATAACAGCAAAGATTGCATGTCCTTACTAAGTGGTTTTTCTACTTTTGACAATGCACTTTCAATGCTTTCGCTAAGCAAATTGCATAGATATTCCTTGATATCTTCTGGGATATCAATCTCAATGGCAGTGTCATGAACAATCACCTCAAAAAAGTCTTCTGCATCTGCTTCTGATAATGATCTGAATGGTTCACATAATATATATATATTGTGATTTCTCAATGTCTTTAAAAAGTTCATCAATCTTTTTTTTCTTTATAACTTATATCAACTGCATCCTACATAATAGATGTTTATTTGTTAGTGTAATAAAGAACTGAAAAGAAGATATCATCTAACAACATTTCTCATACCTCAAATCCTTCATCACCAATCCCTGGTTTGACATCTGATTGCTTTTGCTGAATGTCATATCAAATAAATTTACAAAGTTTGTAAATACAACATGAATCCAATTATTTATTAAAAGGGAAGGTGAAATTTGAGTCATTACCTTTTTTGTAGGTTGTGTCAATGTATTCTCATATGTGACTTCATTAATTAAAGAAGAGGAAATTTTTCTCTTGGATTTCAGAATCTGGTGCCATCTTTCTCCAATAAGATCAGAATGAATTGTTGCCTCATTGGATTTGTTGACAATGTACTTGAGATGGTAGAATTATGTCAATTTACATAATTTATATAATAAAATGCACAACATTAAAAGAACTAACATCTGAAATTGCCATCTGCAATTTAGTTTCGTTTAATACAGTTGTTAGGTGATTGTCTAAACATATACTTTTATACTCTTCCCAGAATTTCTGAACTGCATATGTTTTTTTCATAGCCTTAAAAGATTAACATTTAGTATTGAGTCATTGAACTAGTGAAAATACATGCTTGGGCACTATTGACAGACTAAACAAGCAACAGGGACTTATGCATTGGTCTGGCTCAGGGACCAACCAATGTGTTTAGGAGCTCGTAAAAGGCTCATGACCTGCCAATAGCTACTGTTAATGGACTGAACAAGCAACAGGGACTTATGCATTGATCTGGCTCAGGGACCAACCAATGTGTTCAGCAATAGACAGTGGCATCCTACCAAGACCCACCCCATCGTGGAAATAGAGGATCAAGGCCCGTCATACAGATTCCAAGCATGTCATTCTGATGGTTCAACTTCCTCGAAGTAATTTTTTCTTAGAATTATCTAACATGGAATAAGTCATAAATATCATAATGTAGAAAGAAACTGCTAACATGTAAAATTCGGTACTTACAGTGTCCATGTGTGGAAAAGTTTTTTGAACTTTGAAAAATTTTTTCTTCACAAAATGCACAAAATGTCACACAGCATAATTACCGTAAAAACAATTGAGCGTCAATATTAATATAAAAAAAATGTTACACATATGTAAAAAGATTATCTGATTTGATTATGCAGATACTTGAATTTCTTCATACCCACATCTAAGATCCTGTAGAATATATTTACAGACTTCCTTACAATTTTCACAAAGAAGTTACGACCAGGGAATTTTATTGGAGGTAAGTATACATTTATATATTTGAAAAAAGTGGATTGCAGAAGATCAACATTATGAGAAGAGAGACTTGCATCTCATGCAACAGGCATGTAAGTGGCATTGCTCTGCAATAAAAATAATGGGACTTCTTTCATTTATGGCGATGCGATAATTGAGCAAAAAATACAGATATGTGAACTTATTATTATTTTAAAAAATTAAGTTGTATCTTTATTATTATTTATATGAAATGACTAAACTAATGCAATATAAAATTATAGAGTAGCAAACATTTAAAGGGAGGAAGATGCCAGCCTCTAAACCTTAAAATGGCGGTTCCATCTCACTACTCCATACTATCTATCCATGAACCAATTTGGTCCACAGTACTTGATTTACAACTACTACTTCTATTATAAAAGTATTTGATCATTGATTGCCTAATATCTCCTCCAAGTTCAAGAATGCGCATGGCTATGGAATAACACATTTCGTCAAAAGTATATCAAAGATCTGTTTAAAGTGAGTCCAGATAGTTAATGTAATCCCTGAAAATGATTGCTGGCTTGATTCTATGATAAAAAAAAAAGCCAAGTTAGTTAAAGTTAGTTGATTTTTTAAATTGTAATGGTAGCTCCAGCTTCACTATCATACCTGAAGAACTAGCAGAGGAATTAGAATAAGAAGAATTAATAGAGGAATTGTGTGAATTGGAAGAAGCTTCAGATAGGTTTGTTTCACTTTGCTGATCTTGTTCAATTCTTTGGATGATTGCATGATGTTGATTTAAATAGGTTTTGGAATGTTGTAATAGATTCATTAATTGAATCAAATTCGGATGAATTCTACCAAAGTGATTATTGTAGCATTCAAGAACTTGTTCAATTTCATCTCGTGGTAAAAGAATTAATCAACGACAAGATTCTCTGTGCCTCCGCAATGAAGTCAGCATCACATGCATTAAGTTTGGCATTCAGTTTAGCAAGTCATTCAGTGAGCTTAGAATCATATAAGATGTTTTTTTCGGTAAATTGTTGCCTGATGAAATTTAAGATATTAGTGTCACAGGTGGTTAAACCTAAGGCTCCACATGAGCCAGCTCACAAGCCAGCTCGTGAGGAGCTTTAGTTAAACCCCCATTAAAATAATTCTTGATAGAACTAATAGAAAACCACATGAGAATAGCGATCAAGGACATTAAAGGTAATATATCCAAAACATTGATTTGAGATCTATGAAAAAAAAATTTTTTTTTAACATATGTGGGATTATATGATGTCAAAAGGAAAATATCAGTGTTTAATATTAGGTAAATAAATGTTTTTATTCCGGAATATTGTACCTTTGATCAAAAATTAGAATATGTATAATATTTGTTAGATTTTATTTATTTTGAATATGTTTTAAAGTCTGTTTTTAAATTTTTGAATATTATAGTGAGGAAGTAAAGAGTGGCAAAAAATGGATTCAAGACGTATTTATAATACTCGCTAAGAAACATATCATGTTTTTTTTACCAATAGAACTGTCTTAAAGATATGTCCGTGCATAGCATTACCCATTAACATTAGTAGAACTAGTTCCGCTAAAATTAGTTTGCAGTTCAACCTTTCCTAATACAGAAAATGTCCCATCAGGAGTTTGTAAATCGAGGCAATTGGTTTCATTTACATGATGTACTAAACCCAACTCGTTAATAATTTTTGGGTAATTAAATCTGCGTTAGCGCCTGTATCAATTAATGTTTCAATAGGAGGTTTTTCTTCGACTGCGCAATTTACAAACAACATTTTGGTTATATTATTATACACTATATCTTTGACCGAGAAAAAAATCAAATCGGAATTAATTACTTAGTCTCTACTACGAAGCATCATTATCTGTAACCCACGATTGTGAAAATGAGGAAGAATAGGCGTACCGACCTGTCTAAGATAATTATTAAAATGATCCGGAGGATTTAAATCATCATGTTGAATCAATCCTCTTATAAGTGGAGGGGATTCATCTTCTTCGTTGAAATTATCGATATGAATATTTAGGTTAAGTTGTTTTATAGCTTTTTTACTAATATTTTTAACACCCTCCAAATCAAGGTATTTTAAATTAGGACATGAACGGGTGATTTCTCTGATAGTTGCTTTAGAAATTTTGCATGAACCAAGACCGAGATGCTGAAGTTTAGGACAAGAGCGAATAACATTGCAAATTGATGAATTAGTAATGAAATAACATCTGCTAAGATCAAGATATTCCAATTTATGGCATGTGTGTGCCACCGCCTCAATAACATCATCACCTATATTATTACCGCTTATATCAAAATGTTTTAAATTCGGAGAAGATCTGATAATAGCTAAAATAAGATTATCATTTCGAGGACCCATAAGATTAGCAAAATTGAGATACTCTATATTGAGGCGTTTTTGTATCATCATACTACTATCTTCGATTTCAACACCACTATATGCAATATCAAGACATCGTAATTTGGAGCATTGGTTTATGATGTAATTTATAGATTTATCAGTAATCCCATCTCCTTCGGCAAAGTATAATTCTTCCAAATTCTGGCACAACCTTGCAACTTCAAACAAGGATTTTTGGGTAATTTCCACACAATTAGAAATATTTAGATACTCTAATTTATTGCACAACTTCGCAATTACACATAATGATTCATCGGTTATTAATCCAGCCTCCCGTAAATTAAGATATTTCAAATTCGGATATGATTTAGCTACCATAATTAGTGCTTTATAGCCAAAACCTGCGGTATAATCTAAATCTAAATGGATTATATTTGGACATGAATTCACGATACCTTTGATTTTTTTATATGAAAGTGAATGATAATGCGTAAGTTTGAGGTGAGTTAAGCTTGACTGATAAATTGGTTTTTTATCCCCACATATTATATTTAAGAACTTTTCCAATCGTGTTCGATCTTTTTTACAATAATTATAGTCATCTGGAAAATAATGTCCATGTTGTAAATCATTACCTTTTAACTCAATATTCCGCCATATAAGTGGTGCACTACATCTATACCAAAAGTGGTTAACAAACAAAGCGGTATAGAGGGATTTGTCAATTGCTAAAAAATGTAGAATCAATTCTAATAATTCCGGCAAATTAAAAATGTTAAGTTGTGGCATTTCGAAGTAGTATATATCGGAAATCTAGAAATCAAATCATAAATAATTATTATACTTTGCTACAAAGCATTATTATTTGTAATATGGAGAAGAACCCTGGAATTTATTCAGTCTTCAGCTTGGATTATCCTACCTAATTCTGATCTAATTATCCGTTTTGCAATCCGCTCCATTTCAGCCTCTTTCTTTTTTCGTTTTTCACTGATATCTTGCTTAACTATATTGGGTTCTTTAACGAGAAGCTTCGTTTCCTCAGGTAAGACTGTTTCTTGAGAGGCGTTGGGAGATGTTTCAGACTCCTTGAATTTAGCATTCTTATTATACCATTCAGGCAAGTTGGGTTCCCCTATCGAGTTGGCATGTTCGTAAGGATTGGATGACACCCATATTTTTTTGATAGTTGTAGAACCTATATGGTAATGGGCATTGACTTTTTTTATCCTGGCTTTGAGTTGCTCGGCAAATACTATGGCAGTGATATCTTCTTTAGCTAAACGGGATGGAACTGTTTTTTTCTTGGAAGACTTCGCCGAATCATCTTTGTCAGATTTTTTTGATGGCATCTTGAACGGAAATTATATCTTGCAAGAAAAAAAAAATATACAATATTTATTATAGCGGAGCTAGTGCCAAGGCACATAAATTATGAATATGAATACATTTAATACCACTGGAAATTCTAGAAAATATCTCCTGGATGACGTCAAAAAAAAGCTTAATCGTTTTTATACAACAACAATACATACAGACGCATTTTCAGATAAGAAATACTTATTATGATAAGGCTCGAAGAGCCATTGCTCTGCAATACATTGAAAATTATTTTTATATGCGACTAAATAGTTGTATACTATTATTTTAGAATGTAAATGATAGGTCCACCGGTAAAGATAACGCTTCGAGATACCCTTAATGGATCTGGAACAAGTGGAGGTAGATCAGAATCGGAGAATTCATCATCTGAATAATCGCTAGATTCAGACTCCGTTTCAGAGTATTCTGAATCGTAATATTCACTTAGATCAATCAGGCTATTCTTCATATTTTTATCAGAAAAACAAGTTAAAATTATATCTCCATCTCTATCTATTCCGATTAATTTAGGGAATAACATTTCATAGAATATATGTAATGAACGAGGTAATATTTCTATACTATCTTCTCTCCAATAACATTTTCCCTTTTTTTCCCAAAGCTCATTCCTGCATATTTTATATCCGTAGAAATCAATATCAATTCCTCGACCTGTTAGCCATGAACTTCCTAAAACTAAGTCATATTCAGGTTTGTCAATAACTACGAAATTAGTAAATGTTTTGTTTAAATATCGAGGTAAGGATTTTAATTTTCCCAATTCAAAAATATTTGGCAAAGTGACAGAAACTTTTTCTCTATCAACCCAACCCCTCCTCATTACTTTCTTGCCAGCATTTGTTGCGCCAATACCAAGGTCTTCTACTGCTGGGTATTTAGATCCATACATTCTAGTAATATATAAACCCATTTTTTGGGCAAGTGCTTTACTGATACTACCGTACTTGGATTTAGGGTCAATTAGCGCTTTGACAGTTGTTTTTCTATTAACGAATGTACAATCCACTATTAATCTTTTGCGAATTTCTCTAATCACTTCGGTTTTCCATATATCATTTAAACTACAGCAATTTTTAAGATCTTGGATCGGAAGATACTTCGTTATGAATGGTATTAATTCTGGTGGAAGAAGATTAAGTAAATTAGGCATTGCTAATTAATATATATATATCGGAAATAACTAATTAATTTAGACACATATATCATTTATTTTTCTGGTGTTCTCAACCACGCTTAATTTTGCAACCAGCTCATCTAATGACAGGTCTGTTCCACATCTTCTGGCTTCTAACTGGTTACCAGGTGACAATCCACGGAGGAAGTGATATTTAAGCTGAACTTCATTATATCCAGCTAATTTACCACATTTTTTTACTTTTGTGTAATATTCCATTATCGAACTCTCCTCTTGTCTCAAAATCCCTAATCGAAACTTTTGAATATCAGTAGGTCCAGTTAATATTATATTCAAGTGATCGATATATATTCTTGGTCCAATAACTAATTGTATATCAGTTCCGTCGAGCAATGTAAGAGTTTTATTTGGGAAGTCCAGCTTCATTGCATTTTCCTGAAGCCACGGCTGACCCAATATCATTACAGATTCAAGTTCGGGTTTATTGGTAACAAAAACGTTGGTAACTTTTACTTGCTTTGATTTATTATCTTTGGATTGAAAAGAGGGATTTATTTCATGGAACATCCCTAGTATTGGTAACCCTAATATATGTGGTGATTTTTCAGATTCTATATGAGGGTAATCAATTTCCAAACCTAATTCATCTACTAAACTCTTACCTATAATATTACAATTAGCACCGGAATCTAATACAACTGTAACTGGTGTTTCGTTAATTTCACAATAAAGAAACAATTTAATATTCGTTAGATAGAAGATATAAAATAAAATATGGCGAATGAGCAGTTTCAGACATCTTGTAAAGGAAAACAAAAAAGATCAAATAAGAATACAATGAATGTATTCTTGTAAAAAAGATCAAATAAAAATACAACAAATTTATTCTTGCAAAAAAGATCAATAAATATATTGTAAAAAAGAAAAGGATCGATGATAAATGTACTCTTGTAAAAAGATCAAACAATGAATGTATTGTAGAAAAAGGAGAAAATTAATGTATTGTATAAAAATACAAACTTGAACTTTTTGAAAATAGATAATTGTACAATTCGGAATAATAATAAAATTCATTATTATTATAACATAATGTTGCACGATTTTCATTGCAAATATCACGTGAAAGTCACGAGCGTGCATTTAGGGAGGGCATGTATAGAGGGTGCACTTATCTCTTAAGTCCCGAGCTCGGGAATGAGTGTGAGCGTGCATTTAGAGAGGGTGTGAATTTATGGGGGGCATTTAGGGGGATTGACTGTATTGTTTTGGGTGAGAATATAAAATTTTGAAAATGAATAAATTTTTAGCTAATTTATATTTATCGAATTTTTTCAATAAAAAGGGTTAATACATTTATCATCTGCCTCATATCAAAATTTGTGTAATTTTTTATGTTAATGTATCGACAAAATAGATCTTCAGGTAAAAACGCGGCTCAATTTTAGATGAAGGAATTTTTTGTAAAGTAATTGTTTTGTAGAAAATGTGTTTGTAGATCAAATATGTAAATATTCACTTTATTTTTCGCTTTTTATAAAAAATTAATCAACTATAAAAATTCAGCCACTATTTTTTTTTAACTATATGAGAAAATTTTTAATTATTGCATGCAGATTGCAAAAAATCAATCATTTTTTTCAACAAAAAAAATCGAAAAATAAATATATGGCTGCATTTTGAAAAGTTTGAAAATTTGCCTGGTTACAAACAAAATAATACAAGATGTAAATATTGTAATTATAAATTATATGATCAAGTGGAAGATGTGAAGGTCATTTAAGATGCAAATCAGTACCAGCTCAAGTTTCTTAATACAAGTAATAAATAATACTAATAGCAATAGCAATGAATCATCTTCACCATCATTATCAACAACAACAACAACAACAACAACAAAATAACAACAAATTCAAGAGTAATTTGTCAGTCTATTAATAATTTCCTAGACCGAATTTCAAAACTGAATAAGAAGAACTAGAACTACCGTTTGCAAAACAAATTATCAATGTTTATAAATTAAAAATCATGAAGATAAAATGCTGATTATAACGAAGAAGATGATGATAGTGATAGTCGAACATCTGAAGTTTTTAAAAATTCAAAAATTCATATTAAAATTAATTTCTACGAAAGAACCGGTTGAAATTATAGTTCAGAATTTTTTTATTATGTGTATATTTATTTATTTAATTATTTATTAGTTAATTCTCTTTTTGGAATTCTAATTACGATAATCAAAACTTTTTATTGTCACATCTTCTAATGAACTCATAATAATTACGACTTAATTGATAAATTGTTAGATTCTGCTTCGAGGATATTCTCCATCATTGTATTTTTATAAACCATCCATTCTTCTTGACATTCAAAAAAAATTTTTTTATTAATGGAACAAAAAATTTATCGACCGATTCCTTTTTCTATTCAAAATGTTCTAGCAAAAATATTACTCTATGATTAGAAATATTATCATTTTTTGAGATTCTACTCATGAATAGTGTATATATTAAATCTCTATTTTTCGTGAAAATTTATTCTTATTCCGTGCAAACACATATTAATATTAATATAGCCGGATTTTTTTTTCGGAAAAGTTTTCGTATTTAAATGAAAGTTACACTTCTATTAGATAAACGTCAGTTTTTTGGTTTAATAAGAAAGCGAACTTGTCAAAAATTATCCTTTTGGCCACTATTTTCTGCCCACGAAATGGAAAATTTATCTGATCTTTGCTTTCTCGTTCAGGTTAAATTGCTGCCTATTCAGTCATTTTAGGTAAATATTTATTATTGATTATAATTTTGTGCCTGTTGTATGTGAAATTGAAATATTATGGAATTCTGATTGACTAATTTGAATTTCACACATGTGAATTGATAATTTCATTTTCGCGTACAACATGCCAAAAAAATATAAAACACTCATTATAAATCCATATAAAGCTAATCACCATGATCACGTTGTATTTGTAGCACAATAGTGATTTTAACAATTCATTCACTTTGTCTTTGTTGTAGTGTTCCTTGTATGAGATGAAATACACTTGTAAATAATATTCTTTAATTTCAAAATGCACTTCTCTTTATGAACTCTTAAATTTTAGAATATTGAGAGTCTTTAGTTAATTACCATCCGGGTAAACCAAAAAAAAAAAGGATTAGTATGGTGAAAAGAAATTATTATTACTATTATTATTCTTTCGGGGAACGGGTAATAGATTCCGTGTTTTTTATTCCGACTGTTTTTATGAGCTTATTGCGGATTGGTTTGGAAAAAATTAGCAAATAAAATTTTATATTTAAATAATTATTCTTAATCCTGATTATCTCTAATTAAAGCAATGAACTCCCAAACTCGGGAGGTTTTTAAATCATAACAAGTTGGTTTGCAATTAAATTGATTAAAATAGTTATAGCATACCTTTTTATTTTCTTTATTATTATTATAATCATTTATTTGCAAAAAGGTAAAAATTTCCGGAAAAAACTGGTAATTTTGTGCACTACTTGTCACGTTTTACATTTTCTCCCACGAATATCATTGTGCTGGTTACCTGCACCGCGTAATGCACTAGTAAAACGTGTGGACGTCGTGGATGCGTCAAGCAAAATTTTGGTCCCTCAAAAACCTTTAGATGTGTGCCTCTTGCGATTCCGTAGTATACTTTTAAAGTATATCACAGGAACACAACAAGAGTCGCTCGCGACGTCGATGTTTACACTCGAGACATCTTATTGTGGACTTCTAAATAAGACTAGCACTTTGAAATTAATACTCGAGCTAAATACTCTATATATATAATCATTTTGGACGTCAGATAAAAAAGGATCATATCAAAGAGTTTTTTAAGCGTGTTGATTGCGAATTACTTCTTTACACATTAAATTATACAATCTTGTTCGTTTTACTTTGATTGTTTGTTTGCTTTAGGGTTTAAAGCTTGCTTTTGGCAGTTTTTACATCAATATAATATGATTCACTCACATAATTCGTAAAATACTAATTCGTTCCAACCACTCGGTAATAATAATAATTTATTAATGGATATTATAGTTTGTAAAGTCAATTGTTTATCGTAAGATCACCAACAACAAAAAATAATAGACGGAACTATCTTGGATCTTATGATTCGTTTTCAACCATAGAAAATTGGGTTACGGAAAATTTACAATCATCAATCTGATGCTTTTTAAGAATTATCTTTAAAACAACAAATGACTATGGATTCAATTATGTGTGGAATACTTGTGGAGAAAGCGACTCTCTTCATTTCACATCATCAAAGTAAAAAATAAAAAAAGAAAAATATTGACTAATATAGAAAATAATGTTCTATGTTGATCTGAATGGGAGATAGATAAATGGTCACACTGCTAATCAGAGGAGGTTTTAATTATTTAATATAAAAAGGATTATAGTAACTATATTATCATTATCGATGAAACAATTAAATGTTTGAAAGAATGCTTACTATTTATAAAAGAATTGATTTACAAATAGGGGTAGTATTAGAATTAGTATTAGTATATTTATATTAATATTAATATGTCCGGAATCCGGAATGCTCGCAGGCTAATCAAATATTAATATGAAAAAAATTATTGTAATTAATATTAACAAATTTGTAGTCACTGGAAAAATTCGAGGTAACACGCGCCAGAACATCAAGGAATAATTACACTATAAATAGAAAATTTATATTATTAATAATATAAATCATACACAATACACAAATAAATGGGTTCTTAAAATATCCGACCGATTATTTCATTATTATTGTTATTATTACTTTAATATTAATAGTTTAGTGTAGATAGATTTTCCTTTATTATTTTTTTTTTTTCACAATTTAACGAATCGATCAAAAAGAAGTATGTTTGATCGTTGTAAAAATAAATCACCACTACTTCCACGTCAAGTGTTTGTAAATGAGCAAATACCTCCAAATAATCTCGACAAAAATGGAAGGCCAAAACAATATGTTAGCAATAAAGTAAAAACTTCAAAATATACAGTATTCACATTTATACCAAAAAATTTATATGAACAATTTCGTAGAATTGCCAATTTTTTCTTTTTGACACTTGTGATTCTACAATGGTTTCCTGAATTTGCAACTATTTCACCTGTGGTAGCTGCTTTGCCAATGTTTATAATAACGGGCATAACAGCTATCAAAGATGCTTTTGAAGATTTTAAAAGACATGTTACTGATAGATCTGTAAATAATAGAAAAACATGGACATTAGGGAATTGGATAAATGTAAATTATCCTGATTCTGATTCAAATTCAAATTCAAATTCAATTATTGAATGGATAAAAAAAAAAAATTCTAAATATATACCAAACACAAATAATAAAATAAAAGATCCTGAATGGAAACAAACAATGTTTAAAAATGTTCGCGTAGGAGATTTTATCAAATTATTCAATGATGATTTCATTCCAGCTGGTAAGAAATTTTTTTGTTTTTTTTATAAACTTTTAATTCATGATGATTTAATATAATATACCAATTCATTTAGACATAATAATTCTTTCAACTTCTGAACCTAATTCATTATGTTATGTGGAAACAAAAAATCTTGACGGAGAAACTAATCTTAAGATTCGACAAAGTGCTCCGAAAACAAGCCATTTAAAAGACCCGAGAGATTGTACTTCAATAAAATTTTATGTAGATTCTGAACCTCCAACAACTGATTTATTTAGTTATAATGCAGCTTTAGTATTTCCAGATGATTTACCCGGTAATTCTTCATCCAATATTAACACTATACCAGATTCTACACCACGAAAAGACCCAATAAATTTGAATTCAATATTATTAAGAGGATGTGTGTTGAAAAATACTGAATGGGTCATTGGTTTGGTGGTATTTACTGGTACTGATACTAAATTATCTTTAAATTCGGGTGAAACTCCATCAAAAAGAAGTAGAATTGAAAAAAAAATGAATCCTCAAGTGTACGTTTTTTAAATTTGATGGTTTTTTTCCCCCAATATATTATTCTTTTACTAATTATTTTTCATATTAAATTGATTAGTATTGCGAATTTATCCATATTAGCATTAATGTGTGTATTCTGTGCGATTGCAACTAGAATCTGGCAGGCGTATTTTACAGATGTACCATTTTTTGATTCTGTTGATAATTCTATAGAAATTGATGCGTTTTTGACATTTTGGTAAACTTATTAACTAATTATTGTAATATATATATATATATTATTATTATTATTATTATTATTATTATGGAAAGTATATTAATATAAAAAAAAAATTTTTTTGTGCCATGGAAATAATCGAAACGATTGAAATAATAGGAACGCCTTGATCACATTTCAAAATATTGTACCTATATCGTTATATTTATCAATTGAATTTGTTAAAAGTGTTCAAGTATGTTGTTGTCGTTATTATTCTTTTTTGGTGATAATAATCATTATTATCGTCAAATTCATTAATATATATATTTTTTTTTAAATTTTAGGCATATTTCATTTTTATGGATGATGAAATGAAATACGCTGAAACAAACACACCTTGTATACCAAAAAATTGGAATTTATCTGATGATTTAGGTGAAAAAAATTATTTATTTGTTTGTTTTTTTTTTTTTCTTTTTTTAAAGTTCAAAAATGCTTAATTAACATTTTTTAATAAAAAAGGTCAAGTTGAATATATATTTTCAGATAAAACTGGAACTTTGACGAGAAATGTTATGGAATTTCGTAAATGTTCTATTGGTGATAAAATATATCATGGTGATCCGCCTTTATTTTCTGAAAATGATGAAGATAATAATTTAGTTGAAGGTTTACCATCAGGTCTTAAGAATAATAAGAATAGTAATAGTAATGATAATAATAGTAGTAATAAGAAGAAGAATAGTATTGAGTCAGAAATGCATCTAACATCATCAACAGCATCATCAAGCTCATCTAACAATAATGTTGATACTAACAATACTAATAACGAATTATCACTGTCAGTTAATCCAACTAAAAAACCACTTAAATTACCATTTGTTGATTCTGAACTCTCTAAAGATTTATCTTCAGACAATTCTGACTCTGCTCGTGCAAAAGTGATAAATGATTTCTTTACACTGCTTGCTATATGTCACACAGTCTTAATTAGTACAGGTCCTGATGGTGAAATACAATACAAAGCACAATCTCCTGATGAAGCTGCTCTTGTTCAAGCTGCAAAAGACGTAGGATTCACATTTTGTTCTCGTGAACAAGAACAAATAGTATTTACTAAACCCAACGGTGAAAAAGTTCAATATAAATTGCTGAATATTATCGAATTCACTAGTGCAAGGAAACGTATGAGTATCATAGTACAATGCCCAAAAACAAACAAGATTATATTGTTTAGCAAAGGTGCTGATAATGTTATTTTTGAAAGGTTGAAACTAGGTCAACAATTTAGTCTAACTGCTGAGCATCTTGAAGAGTTTGCGAAAGAAGGTAGATATCCTATTTTATAATTATTATTACTAGTGTGTGTAGTTAAATCTTAATTTTTGATTTTGCAATGTCTAGGTCTTAGAACATTGTGTTTAGGATATGCAGAAATTGATCCACAAGAATATCAAAATTGGGATATGGAATATAAAAAAGCTTCAACTGCACTTGAAAATCGTGAAAAGGAAGTTGCAAAAGTTGCCGATAAAATTGAAAGTAATTTGACATTGCTTGGTGCGACTGCCATTGAAGACAGATTGCAAGACGGTGTCCCAGAATGTATAGCTACATTGAAACGTGCCGGTATAAAGATTTGGGTTTTAACAGGTGACAAAATGGAAACAGCCATAAGTATTGGATTTTCGACATGTTTGTTGAGTAAAGATATGAACTTGATTATTATTAGAGGTGGTGCATATGGTGAAGAAAATAGTGCTTATCAACAGATGTGTACTGCTGTTGAAAAATTTTTTGAAAATGATCAGGAACTTCAAGAAATTGTAAAGTCTAATCAGGTGCCACCAGTAACATCAGTCAATTCTAATTCCAGAACATCAGCCTCACATGTTCGTCAAATGAGTATTACTGCTTCAATGCTCTCTGTAGCATCCAATCAATCCAGAACAGGTGGTTATGCTCTGGTGATTGATGGTGTGGCGTTAACGCATGCTCTGAAGGAATCATTTAGTAAAAAGTTATTGTTGAATTTAGCTTGTCGTTGTAAAGGTGTTATTTGTTGTCGTGTCTCTCCTTTACAAAAAGCACAAGTTGTTGAATTAGTAAAAGAAGGTAAAAATGCAATGACTTGTGCAATTGGTGATGGTGCAAATGATGTCAGCATGATTCAGGTGATTATTTAATTTTTGTTCTTATTTTAATTTTTGTAAAAAAAAAAAAAAAATTTTTTTTTAAATTATTCTTTATATATATATAGGCCGCACACATTGGAATAGGAGTCGCAGGTGAAGAAGGATTACAAGCTGTGATGGCTTCAGATTATGCAATGGCACAATTTAAATATTTAACACGTCTATTGCTGGTTCATGGACATTATGCCTACATAAGGAATTCTTCAATGATTCTAAATTTTTTTTACAAAAACATGATTGGAGTCGGTGTTCTATTTTGGTTTCAATTCTTTTGCGGTTATTCCACGGCTGTTGTTTTCGAATACACATACACCTTATTCTGGAATTTATTTTTTACATGTATAGCAGTTTTGGCTATAGGTGTTTTTGATAGAGATGTGCCTGATAAAATAGCAATAGATGTACCAGAATTATATCAATGGGGTATTAAAAAAAGAGCTTATACCATGAAAATATTCTTAATCTTTATGTTTGAAGGGATCTACCAATCTTTAATAATATTTTTCATACCGTACCTTGCCTATAGTACTGGAAGTACAAACACAGATGGTCGAGAACCAGATCAACTTGAGATGGGAACTACAATGGCAGTTGCATGTATAACAATGGCTAATCTGTTCACAGGATTCAATGCTCAATGTTGGACAGTATTTCATTTTGTTGCAGTGTTTGGATCAATAGGATTATTCCTGATTTACATTTGTGTTTATAGCTTAATACCAATTTCACCTATTGTTGGATTCATTGATATCATGTACACTTCAGGAACGTTTTATTTTTCTGTATTGGTAGCATTAGTTATATCGATTCTTCCCAGATATTTATACAAATACTATCAAAGAAACTATCGTCCAACAGATATTGATATCATTCAAGAGATATGTAAAAAAGATCCTACACATGATTTCACTAAAGATAAAAAACTTTATCCAACTCTTACGCTTACCAGGCAAACAACTCGCGATTCACGTAAATCAGTACCATCTCCAAGGCCTAGTTTTGCCACAGAGCATACAACGAATGTATCATTACCAGAGACATTAACAACTGAATCACCAACGACAGCAACAACATTTCCACCACCACCACCGTCATCACTATCAATATCGATATTACCGCCACCATATCAACAACAAGTAACAATAGCAGAAGAATTTTATAATGATCAATTTGAAATATGTGGTAGTATGACTAATATGGTCACAGGTTTAACAGAACCGATGCGTGGCTATGCTTTCTCACAAGAGGAAGGCTCTGGTCGTGTAATGCTTTCTCCGCAAGATTCTGTTGATTTATCACCTTTAGAAGAAACTGTTAATTTATCAGAGAAGTCAGAGAAATCCAAATAATTTTTTCTATATTTATTAATAATATATTGTATAAAACAAATTTTATTTTTTTACATCCAAAAACATAAAACAATTAATTAATCAATTAGATAGATAACCTTTTTTTTTTTTTAATGAGAAACTTTTAACAAATTTTAATCTACCTATTTTTATTATTTAATCAATTAATTAATAATAATAAAACCATTTTTAAAAGGTTTTCAGTAATTTGTCAATCGTTACAAATTGAGATTCTGTCAATGATTTATTTAGCGTTGGCCCAAAATGACGCCTGGATGAACTTGTATAAAAGTTGAAAATACACATTGTATAATTTTGAAAGTTATACGACTGTTTAATAAAGCTCAAAAATTTTTTTTTCAACGCGTAAATTTAGCCAATCATATTTTCCCTCTAGTGTCACATGGAAAATTAGTAATTTCTAGAACATCAAGACTGTCTATATTAACTCTTTACAATAAAAAAGTTTAACGAACATATTACAGTCGAATTCCTCCATTCTAAATGCACGGACTTCTCATTCCAAAGCTTATAGAGAGCTTATAAAATCTAATGCCAATACCCTTTCATTTTATGCTTGTTCCGTATGTTTTATGTGGAATTAAAAACATACCCTTTCATGAAAAGCACGGGATACGTACGAAATACACATGGGATGTATGTAGAAATACAAATCTCGTATGTATTTCGTGTCGTGTGTTCGTAGTTAATACATCACGTAATAGTAATGCATACTAATACGAAAAACGTACGGGAAATACGGGTTCTGTAAATTTCGTGTTATTATTATTTTGTGTGCATCCCGTCCGTACTTTTGTGCTTTTTCGCTGGAAGATTCCGTACGGTAATTCCGGAAACATACGACGCATGCACTGTTTTTCCATAAACAATAATAGGGCAGAGTTTCACGAGTGTGAGAAAGTCAAAAGATTCTCCAAAAGTCGAAACCAGTTTTGACTTTTGACTTTTGATTTAGTTTTGACATATGACTTTTAATTTCAATTTTGAGTTCACTTCTTTAAAATAGATTTGGGAACCAACATCGTAGGAATTGAAATTTTCTTTTGGTATTCAACATAAACTTTTATTATTAAAATTCATCAGGGAGAAGTTTTTTTGTATAGTTAATTTTTATTCTATTACAAAATTTTTAGGGGTAGATGCAAACATGTCATTTTATCATTTAATACTTGTTTTTATTTAATATATACGTATGTGATTAATTTAATTGATTATTCAGACACCATGTATGTATGTATTGTTTACTCATACAATATAATATGGGACAGGATTTCAGGGATCAAAAATTTTTAACATGATTGTATTACCACTGTAATGTGATGGATATTTGTTTTTCACCTCTTATATAGAATGGTTAATTTACATTAGATCCATTATGGAATCCAAGAATTATAGCACTGTTAGAAGTATTTTGAAGAAGAAACAGAGTGAAAAAATTGCTCCTTGTATCTACTTTTATTTTTATTTTAATTCAACCAATAATAGAAAAATACATAAAAATATATAAAAAAAGTGATTTGTGGATCTAACAACGGTACACATATAATTTTCAAATTTGGCCACTTATGATGTCAATTGCTGGGACTAGACTAGACGCACCATAGAATTGGGAAAAAATTTCCATTATTGATGAATGAATGTCATTGAAAATTAGCAAAATTCCTAAATTCTTGATTTGATGATACAAATAAAATTTCTAATTCCCAAATTAAATAAGCAGAGTTCAAAAAGAAGTGGACAAAGTATTGGTATAACCATTAGCGAATTTTGATTTATTTCGGTTATTGTATTAAAACTATTTATGATTATTATTTATTTGAATTGGTACCCAAAAAAAAAAAAGATCACAATTCATATCTCTAGAAATGAATATATTAAAATAAATAAATAATTAATTGTAAAGAAATATGTTCACAAAATTTATTAATAAATAATGTGAATATATAACCAGAGTTAAACTCACAGAATTTGCCAGTAAAACCCGGCTGGATACATGAGTATTAATTTAACATCTAAATCTATTATTATTATTATTAGTTGAATGGATGAATGCTAAAAATAAGAAAAAGTCTTTTGAAAATCCTTGATTTAAAAAATAAAATGAAAATTGTTTTTGATTAAATTAAAAATCCAAATTTGATGAATAATAAATACACAAAATATTATTATAATTGCTGGTGAGTTTGTACTGCTGTAGTTGATGATGATGATGACGGTGAAGATGGCGAGGATGGCGAGTCTATCATTGCTCCTTCTCCTGCATTATCATTACTGCCTTTAATGAAAGTTTCATTCGGTTCACTATTATTTTCTGCATCTGTTATTTGTGTCTCGTGTGTAATTGTAACTTGTGTTTCCTGTGTGATTTTGACCTGTGTCTCTTGTATTTTTTGTGATAATTGTCGTTGTTCATCTGAATACACATCTCTTCTTAATCCGCCATCACTTCTGCCATCTCCACCATCTCCTGAATTCAAATTCTCTATATCAACGTATGCTCTTCTATTCACAGAACTTTAAAAAATTCACAAGATATTATCAGTATTTATAGTATTAAATAGAAGTTGTTGTGAATAATATTTGGTGAAATAACAAACCTTCGTGTCAAAGGCCTGCAAAGTACCCAGAGACAATTTACAAACGTATTTTTATAAGAAAATGGATTTTTTGCACCATTCCTCCTAGCTGCTGGTGCACGAATCTATGCATGCGTGCATGAATTAGTGAATTATTAAACTAAATAAAAATATTTAATGGAATGAAAAATAAAATTACCTGTTCATGTGTTGTTAAATTTTTACTAATTAAATAAGTATGATAACATGTCAATCCACCAACAGACCACATCAAGAAAAACGCTAATACAGCCAACCCAAAAGTAAACATAACACATTAAGGTATATATATAAATGTCTTATAAAACGTACATGTATATTATATATTAATATTGTAAAAAAAGTAAAAAAGGATATCTAACTGGTTCAGCTATTATAGTTTCAATAAATCCAATTTTCCTTTCCTTCATCAGTAATAATAAATGCGTCAAGCAAAATCCTTGAAGATAAAGGCATATTATAGTTGCTGAAGCTATAAATGTATAAAATGTTCTATAGTTTCTTCTTCCTATACAATTATTCAGCCAAATACAATGATGATCTTCATTTTCTATATAATTGAGAATTGAAGAATTAATTATAAATATTCATATAATGATGTTGAACAATAAATAAATAATAACATACCAACACAGTTATCACATTGTCGACAATGACTAGATCTTGGGGGTCTGTAAATTTTGCATGTTTCACAATACTTTGATCTAATCACTTGTCCATTCACTCTAATTTCCTTAGGAAGCGAGACATAATTATTAGCATTATAAGCAGCATTGTTAGTATTACCTGGAGCTTCTGTTGATGGTAAAGGATCAAGGTTACGTGGAATGATCTAAATAACAAACAAAAAAACATTTAAATATATTTTTTAAGATTTTGTTTTTAAAAAATAAATCTACTTACACCAGGATCAGACCATGATGTTCTTAGCATACTTGTTAATGTTAATAAAAATAAATAGATAAACATAAAAGTCACTGCCGGTGAAACGTTATGAAAAAGAAAAGGACAACTACACGACGATCGAAAAATAAATTAATTAATAAATTTCTACATCCTCCCAAAAAAAAATGTTAATGATAATAAACACTAACGTGAATCCTAAAAAAAGTCCGGATGGTATAACTAATGTTAAAACTGCTGTCGTAAATGCAAAAGAATGTCGACTTGTCATTATCCTTCCGCCCAAAAAAAATCTATTTCTCCCAGGCCATAATTGATAAAGCTTTTTCTGCTTTACTTTATCTTTATTGTTTTTTTTTGATTTTGTTGTTGGTGAAATGATACGTGGCATATGACTAATATCAAATTCATTGAATATATATTGTTGATCTGCAGATGTTGATGCAGGATTTTTTTGGGGCGTTAGTTTAGCGGAAGGAGGCATATTAGAAAAAGGATTATTATTAGAATTTTTCGAAAATATATTATTAGAGTTTGTTAAATCTCTGGTGGATGATGGATATGTTATTCCTGCTGATCCTGTACGAATCATTTGCGGTCTGTATGATGTTGGATCTAGTATTAAGTCCTGAGGAGACGGCTCGAACAACGAATCAATCGATGTCGATTGTTGTGAAGTAGGATCATTATCATAATCTTTTTGCCGTATTAGTAATAATGCACTTGGTGGTCGAACAGGAATTGTCATCATGTGTTCTGGTGATGAATCATCATCAACGTTAATTATTGAATCAATTGATTGGTCAAGTGTCGGATTGTGCGGTGATAATATATCTATGAGAAGATTTGAGGAAAAGGTGGTAAGTGCGATAGAAGAAGATGAATTAGATGATGATGATATATCTTCTTCTAATGTATTTAAGGGATAATTATTATTCGCTGTTGTGATGGTATTTGCATTCTGATGTAAAGGCAATGACGTGGTGGTGACTTGGTTATTGTTGTTGTTGTTTTGTAGTGTGGGAAAAGAAGTTTTATGTCTAATTGAGGGATTTTGTGATGTCGGTTTTCTTGGAGCGAAAAAATGTTTTGAAGGTAAAATTCCTGATGCATGACGAGAGGTACGTGTCCGACTCATCTTTTATTTTATTATTTGAAATTTCTATATATAATCTATATATATATATATATATCTTTTATCATACAATTAATTGTCCCTTTATTTGTTAATTTACAAGATCTCTCATAAATAAATAATCTATTCACCTAAATATATTCTAATTTTCTAATAATAATAATTATTGATATTATTTAAAAGAAAGGTAGGTAGGTAACTGAATAATTAATTATTAGAAATAGTTTTAATTTATTTAAAAATTTTTATAATTGATATAATAATAATAAATAATTATACTGCAAGAGCATAAAACTTTTCAGGGTAAAGGCCTTATCTATTTCAGGGTTAGCAATCAGAATACCCAAATTGCTAAAAAGAGGTAAATTAGACATTTGCACAGCTATATTACCAAAAAGGTATATGGGACAGTCTAATCACCAACCCTGACCTATTCCACAATAGGTTTATTTATTTGTATAAATCGGTCATTGAAATTTTGAGCCCTGATTTTTTTTAGCTCGATCTTAAAATTTGTGTAATATCGTACATTAATTTAATTTGTTTAATTCGTTTACAAATATGTAGAAGAGTAATTCAGATAAATTAAATTAAAATTATTATTACTATTATTACTATTATTATTATTTATTCTAGAGGAAAAAATTGTAACTAACGCTGCCTTCTACCACTAGTAGACATCAATATAAGTTTTTTCTTTTTATTTTTTTTGCCAAAAAATACTTCTTCTTCATGAAAATCCCAATTATTTTCTTCAACTTCATGATTTTCTTCTTCAGCCGATGAATGTCTTCCACCAGCTATTCCAGCAAATGTAATTGCAGGAGTTCCCCAAACTGTTGTGCGTCCAGTATGCTGATTATTATTATCAATGTCTTTATTATTATCATTGGATTTGTCGGAGTCAGTGATACTATTACCACCACCACCATTATTACTATCATTATTATTATTATTATTATCGTTTGTTTCACCACCATAAGAATATGAAGGTTGTTGAAAAAATGGATCTGAATCTATAATTTCTTGTTTAGATTCTTTGTTGGCTGCTTGATCTTGTAACCTTTTTTCTTTTCTAGCCTTTTCTTTGCGACGATTAAGACGTTGTTGAAGTTCATCTTTCATATCACGTTAATTAATAATATACAATTATTAAATATCAACAACAACAATAATAGATACAATCATTCTATCGAAGGTTATATATAGACAGACATACTTGAAAAAATTTTCAACGTTGAATCAGAGACAACACCTTTCAAATCAACCTCTAAAAATGTCACATCGCAACTCAAAGGCAAATGTCCCAAATATTTAAATTTTTTGCGAAGTTCCTATAAATAATAATAAAAAATTAATTAAAAAATAAAATCTTAAAACATCATTTTCAATTATGATTATTGTACACTATAATTATTGACAAACAATTCTTTACTTCAGTCATTGTTGATTCATCAACACTTATAACGCGAAATGAAATCTCGTTTGGAAATTGTTCATATGTTCCAAATTCATATTTCAAAATACGAATATCCAATGGATGTAAATAAACATTTTGACCATCTTCCGACTGATAAAAATAGTACGCACCATCACTAGAAATTATAGGTTGTTGAGAATTAGTAGTGGATTTTGACTTCAGCTTATAATCTAATTTTGTTGAAGTCTGTAAATTATTGTGGTTGCTGGTGTATGATAATATTGATAATGATGATGACGATGATACAGGCGTTGAAGGTGGTGGTTGTGTTTGTGGTGTATCTTTAAATGTATTAGGCAACCAGGATGAGGATGAGGGTGATGAAGTTGATATATTAACTTCATTTTCACTATTTTGAAAATCCTGAGAATTTACTATTGGTGAGGATTTTTGGTCAGTTTCAGGAACCGTAGTGGCGGTGGTAATGAGATCTAAAAGCTTTGATTTATTAAACATTTCAATGGCTTGTTGCTCTACCTCCAAAAGATGAACCGTCGAATATGATTCTTGAAGCAATGCTAATTGATCCTACATACAAATTATAACAATAATGATAATTAATAGTATATATGTTAATTAAAATTATGTATGTAACAATTATAACATAAATAGCCAAGAAAAATACCTGAGTATTAACAATAGCAATCTCAAGAAATGGAATTTCATCATGATAACTTAAAATTTTGGCCTCGTTTAATGTTACATCGAGTTCTTTTAAATCTCGATTAAACTCTTCTTGCATATAATCAAAAGAAGCAAGCATCAACTTAGAAAATACCAGCGCATTTGGAGTGAAATGCCATGGTGCAGAAATATTGGTATTGATAATAGTATTATGATTTGATGAATCATAATTTTTAAATAGCCAATTTCTTGATCGTGGGAGTGCAATAGTAGAATTCTATTGTTATAACAACAACATCATCATCATTTATTATTATTATTATCATCATCACCATCATTGTTAATTGTAAATATAAAAAATTTTCTTTATAAATTTACCATCTGTCTTTGGATTAATCGCATATTGATTGTTTCTTCCCCTTCGATTAATCCAGCATAACCTACTTTACTAATAGTCCTAACAGTCCAAAACCTTACACTTTTAAGATCTTTTGCATATACAGAATCCCAACATATTGGACATTTACGCCATTTTTTACTCGATTTATTATTGTTGTTGTTATTACTATTGCTATTAATAGTACTGGTACTGCTATTATCATCAGTAAATTGTAAATAGTGGAGAATGCAAGCGAAACAATAAGTATGACCACATTTAGTTACGCGAGGAGCAGTTGGTTGTTGTAAACATATTGGACAACTGGGTGTACTATGAGTAGTAATAATCTAATTTTCAAATTAATCAAATTAATTAACAAATGACTAATGAATTAATTCATTGATAAAAAAAAATAGTTATATTATTTTACCACTTGTACTATATCATCCCAATTAAGTAAAATATCTAATGTATAATAATTTAATTATTAATTATTTTTAGTATGTATATATTCTATATTTGAATATTTTTTTTTAATTTACCAGGATCAACTAGATAAACAGTATAATCTCCAGTTGGTTTAATAATAAATCGGAAGCTTGAATACATTTAAAAAATAGATATTAGTTTTTTTTTTAAAAATATTATATATAAAAAGAAGATGACTGACATACTTGGCATTTACAAAACGTTCTTTATTGTAAGGTTGATAATTGGTTACTCTCTGTCTTCGAGGTGTATGGTTAAAAGATTGTCTTGGTGGAAAGGTAAAGTTCAAAAGGTGATTAAGAGATATTTGACCTCTCTTATTAGGTGTACCATACAGCTAAAGAGAAGTAAATAAATGCCAAACATACAAATAATTAGATTTAGTTATGAATCATAAATGTTTAACTGCAAGAAACATACTAATGGATCCGATTCACTAAGTGATAAATCATTTACTGCAGAGCTGACTATTTCTACCGATGAATCAACAGCTTCTTCTTCTATCTGATCAGATTCAATATCGTCAACAGATGGAGGAGAAGTCTTTTCAATAGAAACACACCATTTCACCATAATGATGAATTAGAGAAAAAACTGCTAAAAAGATTCGGTCCCTAACATGGGATACCGATGATCCTTTCTAAAAAAAACCATTTATTATTATTATTATTATTCAGTCAGGATTTTTTCCAAGTTTGGAAATCTATTCTAGAAATTTTTGTTGATCAATTCATATACGTTACAAATGAATTTAGAAAACACTCCCACGTTATGTTATGTCGTGTTTTTTTTTGATATATAGTTTCATAATCCCCACTAATCCACCAAAGCAATGTAGATTTTTAAAACTTGAAATTGTGATTATTTTTTATTTTTTCATATATAGAATCATATGTGTATAAATTATAATGACAAATACAACACAAACCAAAAAATTTACCATGCTTATTTGAAAGTCTTGTTGAGAGATATCAAAATTCTCTTTTAGTTTAGTGTGAAGCTAAGGAGAATCAGAAATGGCGTTTTGCATCAGGAGAAAAATCAATTGAAAGAGCAAAAACTTTTGGCGAAGTATTTTCCTGAATTATTTTCATTACTTAATTCTTTAGAAAATTATTTTATTGGGCATTTAAAAAAGATAAATAATTCAAATTCCTCATCTATCATAAAAGAAAATGGACAAAAAAGGCCAAAGCTAACTACTGAAAACAATGCAATCAAAGCTCCCATTTATGAAATTTTGAAAGATGATGAATTTGAGGGCAAAGGCAACACTAATCTTGTATTTGAATTAGAAGATGTTAAAAACAATTAATGCAGTCAGGAAAACAATAAATATAATACATAACATCATAAAAGATTATGAACAAAGAATAAAGAAACTGGAATCTCAAAATGAACAATTAATATCAGAAAATAATAATTTGAAAAAAAGAATGGAACAGAAAATTTGATGATCAAGCAATAAGAATCGAATATATTGTAAAAATATATATGGGGCATGCTGCAACAAAACCAGACAAAGTGAACATTGATGTTACCAAGAATTTCAGGGATCAAGATTTAGTCATTTGTATAGTTGTTTGCCGTATCCTGTAATCAGTGTTGGTATTTGGCCATTGGCCTATTTTTGACCAAAATGGCCAAAAATAAATGTACAAATCACGTGAACATTTTTACCCAAATAAGTTTTATTCAACATTAAAATATATGTAAGTT